AAACAGTTTGATCCTTTCAGGTCTTGCATTTCAGGGTTGTTAGGCAGGACTGAAGCAGTGCTCAGTCTTCCCCAGGACTGAGGACCAAGACCGCTCTGTGTACCCTGCCCAGTGGCCTGTGAATCATGGGGATTTTCAGTCTGGCTTGTGGCAGTAGGCACAGTCCCAGGCCTGGGTGAGTGCCAGGCACTGCAACCACTGATCCCTTGGGGGTGGTTCTTTCCCCGGCCTCCTGGGTAGTTTCCACACACACATCTGCTGATCAGTCCCCACCTCCTTCCTTGAAGAGGTGCTTCTGTGGGTCTGGGGTTCTCTCGCTGTGTTGCAGTCTCTTCTCTGGTCCTCCACCCTGCAAACTCTAGGGGCCTTGGTCTTAGACCCTCATCACCTCAACCTATGGAATCCTCTGGGCCCGACATGGGCGGATCTTTCCTGTTTTGCAGCCAGAAACTCAGTGCAGGAACTGAGGCGGTTGAAGAATTAACTTTACTTGCTGCCCGTCTCTCAGGGATCCCTGCCTTTGGTGCTACTGTCCAGTGTTGTTGAAACCACTGCAGGACCTCATGGGTCTGTTCTTGGTTGTTTCAGGCGGGGGTAAATCTAATCTTCGTTATTCTTTCTCGTCTGGAAACAGAAGTCTCAAGCTTCACAAATTCAAGGAAGAAAAGGAGGGCAGCTGTGGCTGGGGGGGGAGCAGGGAAAGGGCCAGATTCTGAAGGGGCTTTCAGGTCGGCGTGAGGGGTCTGGATTGTATTGGGTTAGAACTCCAGACACATCTTTGCAGCAGGAACTGCTGTAGCCAGCTGTTGTCTCTTGCCAGCTTCTCTGTGCCAGTGTTCTTGTGGAAAATACTATCCTCTCTGAGCTTTAGCCCTACTTTTCTTGTCCTGGTCTCTGAGCCCCCTAACTTGGTTCAGGGGGCCTCTTAGCTCCATGTACCCTTCCCAGGCTCTGTCCCCTGGAATAGGTGGCCCTGTAGCCTTCCCCCTGACCCAGTTCTTTCCTCTCCTGGGTCTCTGTGAACGGCAGTGGCTGTCCGGCTGTCATCTTTCCCCCTGGACATCTCACAGTCTCTCCAGGGAAATGAGAGGGTGTGGTGCCCGAGTTCCTCTCCCTACTCCTTCTGGAGACACCCCCCCCCTTAGGACCCAACTCCCTTGTCCTTTGCAGAAGTGAGACACCTCAGCTGTTCACCGTGTTGCCAGAGAAGAGAACAGCCACCGTTGGGGGAGCCATGATGGGATCGACCCACATCTATGACATGTCCACGGTAAGCACTTGGGTGGGGGAGACAGCTTGAGGGCTGCGAGGGAGGGCAGGAGCCAGAGCTTCTGAACCTCTCTTTGGAGATGACAAGGCCCTGGTCTCTCTTCTAGGTGATGAGCCGCAAGGGCCCGGCCCCTGAGCTGCAAGGTGTGGAGGTGGCCCTGGCACCTGAAGAGTTGGAGCTGGACCCCATGGCTATGACCCAGAAGTACGAGGAGCACGTGCGAGAGCAGCAGGCACAAGTGGAGAAGGAAGACTTCAGTGACATGGTGGCTGAGCATGCGGCCAAACAGAAGGTAGGAGCTCGGGCCCCCAGAGCTGGGCTGAGTGCGTGTCAGGGACCAGACCTGCCTTTTTCAGTGGAGTGGCGCCCTCTAGTGGGAGAGTGAGGGTGGCCTTAGTGCCTGCCTCCCTGTGCTTCCTGACTGCTGGAACTCTGAGATCCTGGGTGGGCTCTAGAAGGAGGATGAAGCTCTGGCCTGGGGAAGGGGAGGAACTCATCTGAGTCTGAGCAGGAGGTGGGAGGAGTCCAGTGTCAGCGCTTTGCCCCAGACCTGTGTGGCTGTCAGCCTGTCCGCTCTTCATTTTTTGTTGTTTAGTGGTGGGGAGGGGGGAGGGCGGGTTGTTGAAGCATTGTAACCTATTTCTCTTTCTGTCCTGTAGCAGAAGAAGCGGAAAGCTCAGCCGCAGGACAGCCGCGGGGGCAGCAAGAAATACAAGGAGTTCAAATTTTAGGTCCCCGCACACACCCACCTCTCAGTCAGGCCCTTTGCCTGAACACCTGGCTGTGACACACGGCTCCCCAGAGCCAGCTCTCCCGTGGTTTCCAGGGGCTCCTCGTTTCATGTTCTTATTTTAGACCTGTTTTGTAAATAAAGCTGTTTCCCAAGGAAAGAGATGAATATGTAACAGTGTGGGTCCCCCTCATCTCCTTCAGCTCCCCTTCTACAAACAGAATAGCCACTTTCTGAACAGCCACAGGGGCTGCCCCAGTGACTGGGGCCATGGGTCTGGATCAAGTGATGAGACCAAAGCCGTGCTTGCTGCCCGAAGGCTCTGGAGGAAGGACCTGTAGGTCTAGGTTGACCTTACTAATTTGTCCTTGGGGAGTAAAAATAGGCAGCTTAGCACCCTGGCTGGGCTGGGGAAATGCAGCGGGCTTGGGAAGTAGGCCAGGCCAGGCCAGGCCTTGTACTAGTGTGGTGCCGGATGAAGACCAAGCTCTTTGCTCTGAGTGGCACTCAAGATCCGATTGTCCTGAGTCTGCATCAACTTCTGGGTGGTTTCAAGCAACACCGATCTTCAGAATTTGGGGTAGGGGCTGGGGTGGGCCTTGCTGTCTCATGGTTCCAGTCCTGAGGTCCAGAGAAGCCTTCTGACGGTCTAGGCTTGGCCTGTTGAGTGTGCTGAGCACTGCAAAGAGAAGTGAGGGCCTAATGTCCTGCTGGTGGTGTATCTTGGAGATTCTGATGGGCAGGGCCTTCAGGAGCCAATGACGGGGAGAGGGAGTGTGGAAGACCCCATGGGATACTGGCAGTTGAGCTAGCACTTGAGAGGAGGAGTAAAATTTTAGTAAATGATGAAGCAAATAAAAACGTGAGGAGGAAATTGGGAGTGGGGATGGAGTTCTGATTGAAGTGGTGACCCACTAATGGTGGTATTTTGGGGGAGAGTGGCTGTAAGGGAAAGAAGAGAAATGTTGGTGCCAGATGGATCAGAGCTTCGTGGCTCTACGTGGGAAGGGCCATTAGGCCTCTAGGTCCCTGCAACCATCTACAGGAGAGTGGCCTGTGGGTCCCTAAGGTGGCGCCGGCCGCTGGTCCTCGGCACCCCCTGTGCTGTTGGGGACCGCAGGCTGGGGGCCGGGTCGTTCGACAGCGGCCTCAGGTGCTGGGCTTCTAGGCAGTGGGTTCTGCGGTGGTGCTGCTGCTGCTGCTGCTGCACACACTGCAGCCCTGAGGGCCCGAAGCGCGCGCCCGCGGGA